GGAGTAAAATGGCGGGGATATCTTTGGAGTAAAATGACCAGGGATATCTTTGGAGTAAAATGACCGGGGATATCTTTGGAGTAAAATGGCAGGGATATCTTCGGAGATGTACAGTGGTGTACAGGTTAACGTCATTGGATACATTCCAATGGTAATGAGGAAAGGCTGATATCTGAAAAGCATGTTCAGCATCTGCCAGTCAGTTTTTCGCTTATATATGTATCTGAGTGCTTACACTGAAGCTGACCTGCTCCATGAGCACCTGCCCCCCCCCCTTCTGCATGCTGCACTGAGTCGCCCCCTCACCCCCCTCCCAGTAGCTACAGGGCCAGCTGAGGTGAGCCAAGCATAGGCAGCGGCCACCCTTACACCAGGGCGGTACTCAAATTCTGCCGGCAGGAGTTCAGATCAGTATGCAGGGATAATCTTACCCCCTCCCTGGTCTGCGCTGACAGATTCTTGCCAGTTGCTGGTCAGTGGGGGTTTGGGTTGCAGGGCACGGCAGCATAGAGGAAAAGTATGTAAAACTATACATTCACTGATAAGCACCTCTTCCAAGCTGACTGGGGCGTATTGTCTCAAGAGAAAAGCCAATAAGGCAGATTTGAATTTTCCAAAATTATGCTTAAAATGAATTTCTTTCAATTGCTCTAAGTTTAATTTCCAATTTGCTTACTTTGCTCTTGTATAGAACTACAGCCCGGTGAAAGTGTCCCATTTCACGAGCCCATCCTAAATGTCCTGTGGCCCTCTGAACGCTTCCAGCTGCATGTGCTCACGGCAGCTGGGGGGATTATAAACTCCGGCTTACTGTGATGACAGGAGCGTTTCCCCTCTCCGTTGTCTTATCTAGCAGCACTGCTGTGGACTACAGGTATCATTTTACTGAAGGAGATTTTCTGTGGCTTTTTGTTTCCAAAACTGAGTAAAGTAAATCTATCATGCAATTTACAGTCAGGTCCAGGTTCTATGTGTTAATGAAACTTTACCTTCTAGTTATTAAAGATTAAACCCTTTTTCCCAAAGCTATAAATAGCATGCAACAAGAAACCATATATTCATGCGTCAAAGAATTGACCTACAAACCCCAGTTAGTCTGATGATGTTCACTGGACTGAATGTCAGCTAACTGTAAATAATGCATATGTCACCTCGCAGGGGCCGCCACGGCCCCCGGGGCCCGGCAGGCCACAGGGATACCCGACTGGGGGCTGGAGCACCGCCCGCTCCGCACCTCTGCTTAATCTCTAATCTGCTTTTGGGAAACAGTGCTACACAAGGTTCAATCTCTTCGTATTTGGTCGCCCTTTGTTCTATTAAAGTGCATCACCCCC